ACCCAGTCCTTTAACCACATCATGTGGACGTTTACTGAGGAATGACCGAATGCCTAACACTGTATTTTGCATGCACACTTGAGAGAAACTCTCCATCAAGTATGAATCACTCTGCTGAGTCAGCATGCTGTTGTGGTTTAAATATCATTCTAAATGCAAAGTAGGTACCAATCTGTTTCTGGTAAACAGTATATGCAAGCATAAGTCCCAGTTTGCACTGACAGTTCTTGGGTTCACAGTCAGAGTTCTTGACAACTCATACATCAGCGCAAAACTCTTGGCCGACACTGGTTGTCTTCTTTACTTAATGCCCTCCCTTTCTCCCTTCACATTAGTTGCTTGAGTTTTGTCTCCCCTAATTTACCTCTAATTCATTTCTAAACCCACCGCTAATTGGTATTCTTCCCACACTATTCCACTGAAAGTGCTACTCCCAAGGTCACCGATGGCCTCCTTTTTGCTAACACCGATAGACACTTCCTACTGTTGTTGCTTTCCCCTCACATGAACTGACCCTATATTTGAGACTATTGCCGCCTCCCACTTTCATGACTTTTCTCTCAACTCCTATTATGTTACTTTTCCCTTAGTGTTTTGTCTCCTTATTTGGGCTATCCTTATTTATTTCCTTCTGCCTTTGCTAGACGTTGATACTTTTCAAAGACCCGCCCTAGTTCTTTTCCACTTTACGAATATTTTTCTCTCCTCTTACATTGCTGAGATATTTCATAGAATTCCATTTGTTTATTTATATCTTTAGGATTCCCAGAGCAGCTCTTTCTCATGAACTCAGGCCTACATATGCAGTTGAATCAGACATCTTCATTTCACTCTACCTGTTCACATACATGTGTGTCTCTTCTTCCCCATGCCACAATTTCTGTTCAGGCCTCATCATCTCTTTCCTCAATAACTCAATATACACCTGACTTACATCTTTGTTCTAAAGCTTTCTACTTCCATCCAATCAACAGAAAATCAAAAGGGATTTTTTCCCCTCAAATAAAAATATATTTGTGTCACTCCTTTAATGAAACTGAAACTCTCCAGTGACTTCTTCTTCTATAGTGGTGACAACACAAACTTCATACTAAGCCTTTACAAAGTCCATTTTGTAATATTTCCTCTCCTTCCTGCCAACTTCTCCAGCTTCATCTTTCCCTCTGTCCCTTTGCTCCCAGCCTCTGTCACCTAACGATGCCTTTGTCATACTGACTTTTTTGCAGATTGATCATTATGGGTTGTTCTCTCTTATTATATTATATGAAATGCCACATATTTTACTTGGCTAACTTGTACTCATTTTTTTAAATCTAAGCCTAGAAACCACTTCTTAGGAAAACTTCCCTTAATGCTGTAGACTAGGTTAAGCACCCTTACTATGAATTTCACGGTACCCTATACCTACTCCTAAGTAAGTACTTGCCTCTTTCACTAAAGAGTGACTCTGGAAGGTCAGTGCTGCATCTTAGTCATTGTTATTTTTTCCTAGAGTTTAGCATAGTGCCTGGAATAAAGTTGCTGTTCAATAAACATGTGTGATGTGAATTAAAGACCAGCCACTGCAACAAAAACTTGAGTCAAGGTTATGTAATAGAAAGCCAGTGTATTGTGAGATACACTCTTAGATTAATAGAACATGATGTCACGGTTCTAGATAAAAGTTTAACCTGTCCTTGCAGGAGACTGAAAGATCTCATTGATAGTCACTCAAAATGTGAACGTACATGTGGTACTGACATCACAGAAACATATGCATCCTAGGCACTGGAAGTAAATATGCCTCCCGTGCAAATACAAGAAAATAATGAAAGGTGAAGTCTCACCTAACAGTCTGGAGGGAGGGAGTTTTCAGGGCTGGTTGAATGAAAGATCTGAATTCAAAGCTTTGAATTCTTTCCAGCACTCAGGCCTCCTATGCTAATTGGCTTGGCCCTCTGACTACTTAGAGTTGGCAAGACATCCACAGCATTTCCACAAAAGGGATTTCATCATCTCTGTGTCTCTATTTTAAGAAAAAGAAATCTCAACAGCTCCACTCTCATCGCAGCAGGTTTCCACTCATACTCTATAGGTCCCAGGTCCATTTGTAAATCTTTGGCAAGGGAGATGTGATTACAAAGACGGACTAATCATGGGGGAAGTAGAAATGCATATCAAGGAGTGAACCACCAAGACCAATATAAAACCAAGATCAAGAACGTTGTCACTGTTCAGGTTCTGAAATCAATGGCACATATAAGATGCTTCTTTACTGCACAAATGCATGAGTTTTGTGGATGGAAACAGGGGACCAAGAGCTCTTATATGGTCAGTAAAAATGGTGTCATTGCAAGCAGATTGACTAAATGATTCAGGGACCATCTCAAGTTCAACTTCAAGGAACGCAGAAGCTGGTGGCTGGAGGCAACGGAAGTGGGCAGTTTAATATAAGCAAAAATATTCTGCAACCATGAGTCTAAGAAGCAGAGTTATTCACTGTGATTATCCTGGTAAATAATTGCTAGAGATAATTTCCAAAAAATCTCAGCTAGATTTGTCTAACTGGAAAAGGCTTTATCTCAAAGGAGAGAAGTATGTTACATGTCCCATTAGCCTAGTCTTTTAAAAAAATTGTATATATACACAGAGAGAGAGAGAGGAAGTAGAAAGAGTATGGATATATAGTTTAATATAAACATGATAAGAACGTAGAAAATTCACACACTCACACACACTATACACACACATAAACACATGCAAAAGAGCAAAATGGCAATTTATTTAATAAAACAGTATGGATGCAAGTTCTGGAGATAGGTAAACAACTTTTAGCTTGTTTCCCAGTTCCATCCCTCACCAGCAGTGTGTGACCCTCCTAACTAATCCTTATCAATAAAATTGTGATAATAAATCATTTACAACTCTTAGGATTGTTGTGGAGTTAAGAAGAAAGTGCCTATGAAATGCTTAACACGGTGCCTGGCACAGTGTAAACATCATACAAATCTTAGTTATAATATTAAAATCATTACCTACAATATATTAAGCCATAGTAAAATAAACAAAATCATTTATTTATACAATTTTAAAAAATCAATTAAAACCTTTTCTTTTAATCAGACATTATGAACAGATGAAAACCATTGCTACAATAGGTTTAACTTTTCTTTATTCATATCTCCATGAAAATGAAGCTGGAGAGGTAACATTGTGAAAAATTTATATATTAGGAGAAAAAGCTAATTTTCTTTAAGTTTTTTGAGGCTTACAGTCCCTTGATAATAAAATAAGCTTTCATGAAACCATGAATCAGGAGATACGGCATTAAGGAAGATTGAAAATAGATATCTATCTATTGAAAAGGATGTCATAAAATTACTTTAACAGGGGCGCCTGGGTGGCTCAGTCGGTTAAGTGTTGGACTCTTGGTTTCAGCTCAGGTCATGATCTCAGGGTCTTGTGATGGAGCCACAAGATGGGCTCCTTGCTAGTGGCGTGGAGCCTGCTTAAGATTCTCTCTCTCCCTCTGCCCCTCCCTTCCCCACTCAAGTACACTCTCTCTCTAAAAAAAAAAAAAAAAAAAAAAAAAATTAACTATAACAATCCATAAATAATTTATATTGCAATCTTGAAGGACAAGGAATTTTTTCCTCCATATTTTATAAGGCCAGCCTACTTTACAATATCACATGGTTATAGTATCTAGGTGGTTCTTAACAATGTTTTGTATGATGACAATGAGTTTTATAATTTTCATTTCCTATGAATCAAACTTTGCTTCCTAGCCTACTGTTTCCTTTCTCTGTATTCTGTGGGCTTGGCTTCTTGTATAAGAGAGCTTAAAATATTCATGCTGTGTTGTAGAGTTATTTGAAATACAGAGAATTATTTTGCAAAATTTGTGGTCACTTTAGTTATCATTTCTTATAAAATCAATACTTAGGCAATAATCATATGATGGAGTTGCAGATTAGTCATTTCTCTTTACTTTTTGAAAGCTGTGAGAATGCATGATAGCATTAGGAAGTCATTATCAAAATGCATTAATGGTTTTCCTTCTCCAATAGAGCATTCCAATTAAGGGGTTTGCAAGTCCTAAATATTAGAGTTGGCACAGCTTGTCTTCGGCTGGTACACTGTGAGTCAAGTATTACAAAAGTCTGAACACATACAAGAGGCTATGAGCTCTTTGCAAAGAATGCTCCATTATTGAAAGCATTTCGTTGTCTTGAGTTTACCTTGTTCTGTTTTATACATTATCCTATTTTTCTGGTTTATTTTGCTATAGTATTTGATGTTTTCTATTATAATCCTCAAGTTCACCAAAACATGAAAAAAGGGTATTGCCATGCAAATGTGGGCACATGCGGTGTGTACAGTTACACCATTTAGGAGTTTATTTGAATTCAACTTACATGGTTTCAGGGTCAGTAGTTACAAAGCTGTTGCTGAAGGGACAGCTCTGATGTGCTAGAAAACCTGGACAGCACAGATACAGCATTGTAGCTGATCTACATTTGTAGTGTCTGCCATCTTCAAAGTGTTAAGCCTTTATACTCAATAATCAATACTCCCTCCAGCACGATAATAAAACATGGAATTATTTATGGTTACAATTACAGTGGACTTTTCAGTCACAAGATGAATGAAAACGTTACTGGAGAGGTGATGTGATTTAAGGAAAAGCAAAGGCTTTCAAATGAGATAATAAGTATGAAAGCCCTTGAAAAAAAGATAGTATTATACAAACTTACTGTTAATTTTAAAAACCTAAAATGTTCATTTCTGGCAGGCCTCATGCAATCTGGGGCTATAGAATAACATTTAAAAACTGTTCAATACAAACAGTAATATGTGGTGCCATTGGAAACTCTAAGACCCATGTTTCAACTTCAAACTTAGAATTTATTGCTTTTGAGATTTTATAGGTTGACCCTTAACTTCCTTTCTGCACACAATCTTTTAACTTTGTTTTTATATAGTGGTATTCTGCTGATGTTCTTGTCTTTTTCCTTTAGGAAATGTTCCACAGCAATTGCATTATTAAAACTGGACATGTTCCAAAGGAGTTGTCAGAGACCATAGCAAACTTGGATTCAATCTCAGTGAAATAACTGCAAGGTAATTGTCCCAAAGTCATCCCCTTCTGGATGTCTCAATAAATCTGGCTTTGATAGCATGAGAATTTGCCTTAATGGAAGCCTGTGGAGGAAAGAACATGACTATATTTGCTGTAAAATGCCAGATTACACAGAAATTTCAGAAAGCTGGCAAAAATCTTAAGAATTTAAGAGGGCCTATTTCTTTTTTCTTTCTTTCTCTTATTTCCTCCTTTCCTTCCTTCCTTCCTTCCTTCCTTCCTTCCTTCCTTCCTTCCTTCCTTCCTTCCTTCCTTCACTTGAGCATGTTTCAAAGCTGACAATAATATTATTTGTTTGTACTAATTTTCTATTCTCTAAATAAAGTTCAAGAATCTCCATAAAAAAAAAATTGATCTCATTAATCCTTAGAATGTCACTTAGAATGGAAAAGTAGTGGTAAAATATTATTCAGCCTCTTAAAAAGTGAGAAAAATAAAGCATAAAGGCTTTGGTTGAGGTGCAATTAAATCTGTGGGAGATTCAGATGTACAACCAAGATTTCACACTTTTCCCCCTTTATTTCATTTTAATAATAGCATCTTAGTTCTCCTAACTTTCTTCATTGATTAAAAAGATCTTATCCCTCTCTCTCCAAGTAGAACATGAGCTATTTGAAGGCATGTGATTCAAAATACAACTTTTCATTATATTTCTAGGGCAGTGATTATGTAATAGGCTGAATTAAACTATCTTTGTTTTTCACTTAAAAAATGCATGGGTTCTTTTTTTTTTTTTTTTTTTTTTTTTTTTTTTTTTTTTTTTAAGTAAGCTCCATGCCCAACAGGGGGCTTGAACTCAGGACCCTGAGATCAAGAGTCACATGTTCTACCGACTGAACCAGCCAGGCACCCCATGCTCTTTTTTTTAATTCAAAAACTGCAAAAGGATTATACATTGAAAAGTAGGTCTCTCTCCCATCCAGATATATAGTTCCTGACCCAGAAGCAAATGTCAATAACATTGTCTTGTTGTATGTACCTTTCCAGTCACTTTCATGCATATTAATGAATGTATATCTTAGTGTTTATATTCATTTTTGAACAAGTGAGAGAGCAATATAAATACACTGTACTACATTTCTTTAAACTTAACAATATATACTGGATAATTCTTTCTGTAAACTTTTCATTTGAAAGTAACTTTAAATTTACATAAAAATTGCAAGAATAAAAATAGTATAAAGAACATTCATACATTCTTAACCCAGATTCAGCTTTTACTAATGTTACCCTATTTATCATTTGTTTAATTTCTCTCCCTTCTTCTTTCTGTCTCTCCCTTTCTCTATCATCATTTGAAGGAAGTTGCACACATCATGACCTTTTACTCCTAAATATTTTTATCTTGAATTTCTTTTTTTTTTTAAGATCTTATTTATTGATTTATTGAGAGGAGGGGGAAGGACCGGAGGGAGAAGGACAAAGAGACCCTGCGTGGAACCCGATGCAGGGCTCAATCCCATGACCCCAAGATCATGACCTGAGCTGAAATCAAGAGTTGGATGCTTAACTGACTGAACCCCTATTCTGAATTTCAAAGAATGATATTCTTTACTATAACCACAGCAACATTCTCAACTTCAGCAATTCTAATATTGATATAATACTTTAAAATAATACATGTTCACATTCCAACTTTGTCTATTGACCAAAAAATATTCTTTAGGGCATTTTTACCTCTCTGGTATAGGAACAAGTCTAGGATGAAGTAGTGCATTTAGTTATTATATCTCTTTAGCCTCTGTTAACCTAAATCATATCACAGCCTTTGTTTTTCTATGCCACTGACAATTCTGAAGAATACATAGAATATTCTTCATTTTGGATTTGTCTGATGTTTTCTGATTAGTTTTAGATTATGCATTCCAGCAGAAATAATACATAGGGGAGTCTGTTCTCTGAATCAAATCTGAGGGCACATAATATCCATCTGTCTCTCATTGGTAATGTTAATTTTAAAAATTAAAATAACAGTCAAGGTGTTGCTGATTTTCCACTGTAATAATTATTTTCGTTCCCCCTTGCAACTAAGGGGCAATCTCTGGGGAGTCACTTTACAACTATGCAAATATCCTGCTCCACATTTAAAATTTCCCCCTAGATTTAGCATCTATTAGTGATTCTTGTTTGATCTGATCTTCACTATTACGGAAGCAAAATGACTATTTACCAACTCCCAGTCTCTCTCTACACGTCCTAGTTGGTTCTCTGCATTCTCCTGTAAAAAGGGACTTAACTTCTCTCCCATTTATTTATCTATGTATCATTGATGTGGACTTGTGAATGGTTATTTTGTTCAATGGCTTATCATTCATTACTGTGCTTAATTATTTTGGTCATCCCATTTTCCCAGAGTGGGTCATGGGGAAAAGGCAGTTGAAGTCAGCAATGAGTGCTTCAGTGGCAGTTGATCCAGGGCTGCCCCCAGATCTTAGACCTGCTTGACTGCTATCCTTGGGAAGCACTGTACAAAGTGCCACCCAAACGCCCAGTGAGCCTCCTCCAGCCCTGACTTCAGCCTGGTCTGGCAGTGCTGATAGACTTTTGCCTCGGTCTGAGCAGTTATTTGGGTTGGTCCCACCAAAACCACTCTTCCTGAGCCTCACCTGAATCTGCTTGGCCCACCCTGCCCTCACATCATCTGAGATTAAGGGAGGGGAGGAAATGGGGAAGACATTATCCGTGTTCCCGACTGTAGCCTCTCAGTGTCTCAGAAGTCATCCCCACTCCACTCCCTACCCCTCTCAATCTTCTCCTCTTTATCCAGAAGGAGCTGAAAATAGGAGTCCCTAATCCAAGATGTCTAATGACAGTCAACCCTACGGCTCTTGCCTCCGCTCTCCTAAACTTTAGGAAGTTCGTGTGGCTACCGTTTTTCCATGTTGAGAAATTAGGAGGAGGCAAGTGGGCTCTTTCTGGCTCTAATTATCACTTTCTCTTGGTGACTGATCTACTTTCCTCTCTCAAAATTAGCTCTTCCCAGTGAACTCTGCCACTTGCAAGTTTAGAGAGCTTTGTAGAAAGTCTTTACAAATGGTTAGGCAGTGGCAGCTAACAGTCACTTAGAGGTCTCAGAATATTTTGTGATTGCTCCCCGTAGTACGCACAACCTAAGGTGACCCTTAATGAGTCACATCCTTTCATAATTCCTTCCCCTCGAGTATGGGTAGAACCTGTGATGTATTTATAGCCAGTAGAATATGGCAAAAGTGATGGGGTGTTACTCCCATGAGTATACTGTTATGTAAGACTCGGCCTTAGCACACTCAAGAGACTCCCCTGCTGGTTTTGAAGAAGCGAGCAGCTGTGTTGAGAGAGGGTCTGGGGAGAGCCTCCTGGCAAGGAACTGAGACAACCTGTAGGGACTAAGAGCAGCCCCCAGCTGACAGCCAGCAAGAAAATAGGGACTCAGTTTCACAGCCAGAAGGAACAAAATTCTGCCAACCACCACCTGGGCCTCACGAAGAACTCCAGAAAGGAACACAGCTTGATAAACATCTTTATTGCAGCCTCTTGAAACTCTGAGCAAAAATCTCTTTAAGCTGTGTCTATATCACTGACCTGTTGAAACTGTGAGATCGTGTCTGTTGTTGTAGGCATTTACATTTGTGGTAATTCACCACACAGCGACAGAAAGCTCCTACATCCCCCATGCAGTGGGAGGAGAAAAGAGGGGCCATAGTCTAGCATACCCCTGTGACTTCTAAGTAGAGATTTCAGGCTCGTACAGTATTTAAGCCCCCAACATGGTTCCAGCAGGTAGCACTGCTGGTGGAGTTTATTTATCATTCTTATTCCAAAGACAAATAAGTCCATTAAAGTAAAAGAAATGCAAGGGAAGAGTTTCTGAATATTCAAAAGGGCAATGTTTTGCACTGCCCACAGGCAAAAGCACACATACCATACGTCCTTTTAGATGGTCCTGGGCTGTCATTCAACGGACCTGTCTCCAGGCCAGCTTACACCAGCTACATTGGGAAACTCGGTGACAGCTACAGCAGCTCAGTGCTGCAAAGATACCCTCCAGATAAAAGCTGTTCCTACCAACACCATCGTGGCAGGAGGCAGACAAGCATTAACAGAGGAGTGACTTTCATTGCCATTTTCTGAAAGGGACCTCAGATCCTCTAGTTCTGGCTCTCCAATTACCAGTTCTCAAATGAAGCTGTAACAGAGAAATCCTTTCAGAGGATGGCTCTCCAAAAGGATCTAAGCCTGGGGCCTCTCACCATATATTCATTTAATCAATATTTAATGAGTTTCTCCTTTATGCCAGCACTGCTGATATAGCAGTGGATAAAATACATGAAATCCCCAAACATATGGAGCTTCTAGTCTAATGGGACACTGAGAAGGAAATTAAAATACATGATCAAGAAAGTGCAGGTGCTATCTGGGCACAAAAGAGGGATACCTCGCCCATTCTGGGATGGTCTAGGAAGGAGTCCCCTTGCCCCGCCAGTCATGACATCTGACCTGAGATGTGAAGAATGAGAGGAATCGACACTGCAGATGCTCCAAGCAGAGGGAGCATGGACTAACTCTCAGAGATGTGTCTGAGGAGCAGCGGGACTGAAGTGTGGAGTTTGCAGGTTAGTCACAGTCAGAAGGTACAGCGGGTGCCCAGCACGTCCTGGGTGTCGGCGCTGTGCTAAATGGATGGCATATATCAACCTGTCTGATCCTCACGGCATCCCTCAGGTGAGGCCACTGACGCATGGACAGGTTAAGGGCTTCGCCCATGGTCATACCACTGGTTGGTGGGGAAACCAGAAACTCTCATGCCACTGACTGGCTTCAGAGCCCACACTCGTCACCCACACTCTTATACCCTGGAATATAACTCACATGAATAAACCAGATAGTGAGCTTCAGGACAAGCCTCTATTCTTCATCAAAAGAGCTATGAACCCAACCTGTAAGTCCAAATCCACCCCAGATTTTGCAACTTCTCTGACCTCAGAATCTCTGTCCAGTGCTTGAGTTCTTGCTGGTAAGTGGAGCCCAGTTGCCTGGTCCCCT